TTTTTTTTTTGTAATTGCGCATAGACTTAAAGACGTCGAACTGGTGAGCAAAAAAATGTTTTGTGAATGTGATCCTCGATTTATAAACATTTTAATCATATGAATATTAATTTCGAAATATCAAAAAGAAGAAATTGTTTATTAATGGAAAATTAATTTATCTGTAAATATATAAAACGTGGTTAAAATAATCAGACAGTAACCCCAGAATAATATACTTGGGCGGGCAATTGAGTGTAGGAAGTGGTATCCCGTACCACTCTCAATAAAAAAAAATAATAAAATCAGTACGTGCACGCTGTATTTATTTTTATTTATAAAAAATAAATAATTTAAAGATAAGTTAGTTCAAGTATACGTAATAATTCTTCCAAAAAAAGAATAAGTTGCATAAATAATCTTATTATGAATTATTAAATTGATAAATATTTTTCGATAGCCCACGCGCGGGTTATATAAAATGTTTGATAAAAATAATAATAATAATAATAATAATAATAATAATTTTATGTTATATACACAGAGACATTCAAATTAATTTCCAACCAAGTTTTATCGCAACAGCTTTGTTTTACGCACAAAATAAAAAAAAATACTATAGAACTACAATAATATATTAAAAAACTAGTAGGGGTCAAAAGCCACTGGTAAAAAAATCAAACTTAACTGTTAGTCCTGTTAAATACGTCATTGGCATTTTTTTGGGGTTACTGCTGAAGTTAGTGGTGCATCAATTTGGTCATGTGGGATACGGGTATTTTTGAAACTCTGTAAGTAAGTTAAGGAAACTACCAAAAACTCAGTGACCCAGAAATGTAAAAACCCCCAAGTTAATTTGATCAATTATACACTGCTACAAGAAATCATAAAAAATCATTATTATTAGTTGGAAATATAAAGAATTTACCAAAAATTCTAAATAAGTATTTTAATGTTTTAAATTAAAAATTAAAAAGGAAGACTCGTATGAAAATAAAACAAACAATCAGGTTAATAATCTAGTCAATGGCTACACTAAGCGTAACATTTTAAAAATACAACCATCACGTAAATTTTGGTTTATATAGAGAGGAGTCAGAAAGAAAGGCTCAATCGAGTGCAGACTCTCAATCGAGTTCGGATTAAGGTCCAGACCTTTCGCCTAGGGCGGAAGCTCTTGTTTTTTTTTTGGACTCTTTAAGTCCCAAAACAATGTGATGTGTAGAGTAAAGTTTTGTGTACGATTTGTGAATTATGGGTAACTATTTTTAACTTATTTTAAAGTGTTTTGTTTAATAATAATTGATTGATTTACATATAAATGCTAATTTTACATTTTCTTCCCGAATTATCATATTTATTTTATGCATATTTTTATATTATTATGTAGTTATAGTGCTTTATTCCCTAAATGGAATTTTATTAATTTTTTCTTAAGACTAGTAGTCAAATTTTATACTTATTGTTAATATACATTTGTTAATGTTTTAATACTTATTATGAATCTCTCCTCCCTTTCCAAACCAATAAAATACTCCGAGCATTTGAGAAGTTTCGGCGTTTCTATTCCCTTAGGACTAAAAGAGTCTAAAACTAGTTGCCAAGAACCGCTCGATTATGCTATTAAGGGATAAATTTTATTCTTTTAATTTAATTTTTTAATTATTTTTAATTTGCCACTGGTGAATGGATGTTCCTTCTGGACTCCAGGACGTTTTGGCTGGTGACGGCGCTACCCTAATCCCTTAATAGTGTATTAACAACAGTAGCTAAAGACCTATCAGTAGTTACAAATGGTCTTTAGGCTAGTTGGTTGTTACAAATTTTGATTTTAGTTTCTTTCACATTTTTAAATTTCAAATTTTGTTTCTTTATATTTTTATGCTTAATCTTATAAATACATTTTTAGAAAATGTTTAATTAATAACTGTTATTGAAATATATTGTTTGATTTAATTGAATTTTAATAATATAATTGCAAATTTTGTAGTGGTGGGTTAATTTTTTGGGGCAGTGTACATTATCCTGTTATGATAAAGAAATTCAAATCTGCTAGCAAATGTGATCCACTATACATCTTCCTAGTTTGATAAAGTTTTAAGATCCAACATAAAGGATAAATGAAGGATTTATTATCGAACTAAAACCTTTATTGATTTTTTTAGATAAATAGGATTAGTAAAAATTCCAATACGTTGTTATACTTAGCTAATAAATAGTTAACTGTTTGGTTCTCAAAACTAATTTTAAGATGAAGTAAGAAAAATGTTACCAGCTACTTGAAAACTGAAGGAGATATCGCTCACGATGAATAATTATAAAGTTAAAGTTTTCTGTCGAGTTTATTAAAAGGTTTGAACGCTAAGAACATGAATAAAAGATTAATCTGTAAGAGCAACGTCGGTGCTGGTGTGAAAACGATTTCAAAGTTAGAAGTTGTTTCTTTACTTCTGAATGTTCTGAATATTTTTTAAATAATACACATAGTTATAAACCTCCCAAAATTACTAATAGCCTACCACAAGTACTTAGAAGTAAAAATTAATAATAAATGAAGAGTAAGAAAGAAAAAAGTCTTTTGTATCTCTTTATGAAGCGACCGGTTTCGAAGTATAAAACTTCATCTTGTGGCACGCTTAGTGGGTAAGAGAAAGAAAGTATGGTGAAAATTCTATTGGTATGAGCAAGAAAACAATGATTTAAATATAATAACATTACTAAAAAAAACTAATAATAAAACATTTGAAAACGAACAGCATTTAATATTGCCTCTAGTCCAGAGATGTAAACTGGTAAATTACCGATAAATTATCGTGGTAATTTACCGTAATTTACCGTAATTAACCAGAAATAAATTACAGTAATTTACTCGTAAATTACAGTAATTTACTCGTAATTTACAAAGTAAATTACCGATTTTTGTGGTAAAAAATTTACATTATTTACCATTATCAGAGATGTGAACTAGTAAATTACCGTGGTAATTTTCCGTAATTAATCAGAAATAAATTGCAGTAATTTACTCGTAGTTTACAAAGTAAATTACCGATTTTTGTGGTAAAAACTGACATTTTTCACACGAGTGGGAAATATTGTCGCACGAGGCACAAGCCGAGTGCGACTATCACACGAGTGTGGAAAATCTCTTTTCACACAAGTGATGTACAATATTTTTACTACGACCACATAATAATATCATCAAAAAAATGTAAAACCAGGTTATTATTATAATAATTAAAATGTAATTAAAAAAATCAACAATAATCGTATTTATTCAATTTTCATATTTTCTAAACAAAAAAAATAAAAAAATCGAAAAATCTAAAAATCTAAAAATCTAAAAATCGAAAAATCGAAAAAGAAATTCTTATCGGTCACCACGCTCAAAAAGTGTAACTTGAATTAATATCAAAGAAAAAACTTGAATTAATATCAAAGAAAAAAAAATACTGCATAAATAAAATAAATAAATAATTATAATTGCATAAGTTGATAAAAAATGCTATGCAATAGCTTTACCGCGGCAGTCCCCGAGTGCCACACGTATTTTTTATTTGTAAAATTAAAACTTTTAAAACAGTGAATGAGCCATCAATTTGCGATTAAGAGTATTCTAACCGATCTTGGAAGTTATTTTTTAGATGTACTTACTAACAAATATTTTTTATGCTAATTAAAAATTGAATCTTCAAGTAAGCAGGCAACACAATATACACATAATATACTTTTCGTTTGCTAGTCAAGTTAGCCCGTGTCTGTCAAATTAACGTAGTAAGATTTGAATTCGGCAAATTAAAACTATATACTTTTAATATCGTGTGATCGTAGAAAAAAATCCTGTAATTCGAGCGGAAAGCTATTTGCCGCTTACGATAAAATGCCGCACTTCGCTGCGAGTCGCGCGGCAACTTTTTATCTTAAGCGGCAAAGTAGCACTTTCCGCTCTTAATACACAAATAGCTATTTTCAATTCTTTTAAAAATTATGAAATAAATATTTTTCGAACGGTTAAAATTCAAGGTTTCCCAACTGCACCTGTATTGTAACGTGTAGAGGGTGAGTTAACCCATGGCACTTAGGCCTCACTAGGTCCATTGTGCATCCTCTTAAGTAGATAGGCTCCTCACCCTAATTTTTGTTAGTATTTCCAGAAAATGACACAAAAATCGTAATAAAAATAAAGGCTCAGAAGGAATTAGTAATTTTCAAACAGTTCGGCTTACTCTTAACAGAAACTCGGTTGTATTTATGTAATAAATTTGCCGATTTTTACACGGTACATATCCCAAAATAATCTCTAAATTACTTTTTTTAATAAATAATAATTATGGGTTTCCATCTAAAAATTTAGGATACATTTCCATTATTTCCATAAAACAGCTTATAGGCCATCCTTAGATAAAAGAGACCGGAGATGTAACATTGCACATTGCGCATGTTGTCTATTCCAACTCTAAGTAACTCACCAATTAAAAATCATTGTGTTCACGACGCCACCCGAATTGCTCCGAAATTTCTATTCTATGCTTGTCTCCGCGTGAGTAAATCATTTATGCGCTAGTTCAGTGATGATGTAATTATGGTTCCACTGACAATTAAAGTGACAGTAGATTTTTTGAGTGCGTTTTTTCGTTTTGTTTACCTATATTATATCGTTTTTTTCACTTTTATAAATACCTATATTCCTAAAGTAAGTAGATAGCATGTATCAAATATACAATCGTTTAGTTACCAATTACATACCTTTATTTTTTATGACCTGTAAACAATATTTAGAAATAAACTAAAAACAGTAAAAACGTATATGTCAAATTTATTGAGTTTTTTTTTAATAGTTTGGTTAGAATTAAATGTCAGTGGAACCAAAATGACATCACACCGAACTAGCGTATTCCGATTTCTCAGTCAATACCTAATGAAGGTAAGGAGGGGAGGAACTTTTAATTGACCTCCATACCTACTCTAAATACCTAACTTCAATAACTAAAAAGTTTTTTTACAACTGTAAACCGAAAACTAACCTGTAACATTTGGATTATCGATATAAAATTTCTGTATAGCAGTTCTAACTCTAACCCTAGTGGCCCTTTCTTCCGGCTCTTCAACCCAGGTGAAAAAAGACGCTCCTCCAAATAAAAATATTAAATAGCAAAATAAATAAAGAGCAAACAAATACGAAGATCTACACATTCCCAAGATCCTGATGCCCTTATATTCCTTTTTGACAACTTCAGGCATCAATGGAATCTTTTCTTCCATCTGACTGCAAGTTATGATGGCTCCGTAGTTTCTGACATCCATTTTCCACCAAAAATTAAAGTCCTCAGTTTGATTTTTACACTCTATAAATAGTTCTATTAACGTTATAAATATACGCTAGGGTGTGAGAAAAGTTTATTCCTCAAAACGAAGAAATTAAAGAAAAACTGTATTGTCCGATCTTTCATTGCGAAAAATTATTCAGTCAAAAATCACTCGATAAACAAACCACGAACTAAGCACTGATCTTCTTGCAAATCAGGTTCATTTAAGACTGATTTTCTTCGGTATGAAGCCTGGTTTATATTAGTTGTGTTATCTTTTTGTAAATTGCGATTAGAACTTTGTTTTTATTTGATTAGTTTTTGGTCGTAAAGGTTAAATACCTGCATATTATTATTCATTGATGATGGATGATTACAAATTGTGTTATCAGTTTGTAGCTTGTTGCTATTTGAGACTTTGAGACAATTCTTTAATGGTGTTTACACCTGATTATAATATTTTTAATCGATAAAATATATCAGCTCCTGAAATATTAAAATTTAAAAAAATCCTGTTGGTTGCATAGCAGAAATAGACATCTGTAAAAAGTCCATACTCTCAACCCCAATTTTTAATTAGGTAATAATACGAGGAGTGGCAGATAATTCAGCAATCTCAAATTACAATCATTAATTAAAATAGAATTTTAAAAAATACTCTAAATACATATATACAGTATAACACACGATACACAAATAGTATATCATTATTTCGACCGAATTTCGTACTCTCTGCGCATGACATAGCGTGGCAGACAGCAAACATACGTTTGAATAAGGATTATTTTTTAATACGGTTTTACTTTTAATTATAAAGATGTTAGATAGAAGAAACATAAGTGTTTATTTTTGGAAATTTTTTATTAAGATGTTTTCCTTAAACACGATGCGATTACATAAAAAAATAATTATCACATATCCAGAACTTTGGAAGTTTGAAAGAGCATATCACTAGAAAAATTTCTGGGTTTATTAAATATAATTTTTCAAAACCATTTTTGGATCACTTTCAAATATTTAATGTGTTGTTATCATAGACTCCTCCCCAAACCGGGTTCCTAGCCAACTAGCTCTTCAGAAGCCGAACTATTTTTTGGTAAAAGAACAAGCACCTCAACCATTAAAAGAAGACAGTTTTCCGTGTAATGATACCGGTCGAAGATTTAACATGAAAAATGGTGGGGTCCGATTACAATTAGAAGAACCCAGCTACGTCATCATTTGGTAAAGTAATTAATTGGTTATCGCCGTCTATTGGGGGTTTAGTGAACTGTTCAAGTATTACGTAAGTACTATGGGGGGCGGGGGTCTTTGTTTTGCTTATTTTGGATGACATGGCGGGTAGGGGAGTCTAGATGATGATTACGTCATCGGTAGTTATTTACTTTTTTACACGAATAGCAACCCTCACATTGTCTATGCTTGAAAACGAAACGCATTTTCGGGGATTCCCGCAAATAATACATACGTTTAGACACTCGCTTTAGAACCGAGTAGGGGAATTACCGCGCGCTATTCACTTGCTGTAGCGAGTATAGACGTATTGTAAGCATAGCAAAGCCAGTTAACATTTGTGTTACCGTTAATTCCATTAGCCAAAGTTTAATGTTTAAATAAGATGTCGTTTCAAATAGACAAATCCAAGTTATACCAAAAATTGTTTGAAAGTTTTAAAAAATCTCATACGAGTACGAAACTACAAAATGTACATAAGTTAGTTAACGAAGTTTGACGAAATTATAAATTACAAGCAAAGTCCGACAAGGAACTAGATATTATTGTATCTAAGAGAATTGAAAAAGAATTGCAAGCGGCGAATAAGAATAAATCCAATCTACTACATTTTTTTCCAAGGTGAGTGACGAAATCATTTTAGGTACCTATGAGTACTAGAAATGTTAGAAATCGCCAAAAAGCTTCTCTTTACATTTTGAAACAATAATTTAGACGTTTTATGATTAGAAAATATTATGGCCTATCTCAAAGTATGGAGGTAATATTGATTATATAGATTTATTTCTTAAGATTAACTGCGTCAATTGGTCACAAAATACAGGTTGTTAGTTTTCTGTTTGTGTTGGTTTCGATTCCCGGCTTTAAAGATTATTTAAAGCCATAGAGCTTTAAATAATCTTTAAATCCAGTTTTTTATTGCATACTTTGTATTTATGTAGCTTAATAAGAGAATCTTTGGCAGAACCCATAGAAAGTTTTTATTTTTAGGCAACCACTACCTGTAAACCTGCAAAAAAACAATTATACAGCCAGCTTCAAATATTAAAAAACAGGAAGAAGATAAAATAAAACCCGGTAATGAATCACAACAGCAATGCGAAAATAATGATAATGTAGATAAACAGAGAGCAAAACCCTCTCAGGAAGCTATGAAAAATAAGATTGCTCTACTCGAAAAAAATCTGGATGCTTTGTATTCTGCCAGAGATACTATGCCAAGCCGTGCTGAAGTTGATAAACAGATCAGTAAGTTGTGTGAGGAAATAAAAACAGCAAACCAGTCTTTAAACAGGAGGATTCAAAACGCAGTTGCCCAGAAGAAACACAGGGATGGTATGAAAAGAAAGTTAGAAGATATTTGTCATGAAAATCCAGATATGAAAAAAAGACTATCTCTGAGAGATTCAGTGGGACGTCCTATTCTTGAAAGCAATTAACCATCACTATTGAAAACAATTGCGGATATAGCTTTATTTGGGAGTGCAGCGTAAAAACTCTTGATGAACTTACACAAGAATTACGTAAAGTAGGATTTGACATTAGTCGCAGTGGGACATCTTCGTTTGATTCCCAGAAAATTTAATTCTGCAGAGGGACGAAGACATGTACCGACAGTCCCTGTTAAGCCCATTCGGGCTCAAACTGATCACCGCAAGAGCCAGATAGCAAGTTCGTTGAAACATCAATCCATTATTTAGAGAACATAGCATCCATACTTGGACCAGATCAAGTATTTTTCATATCTCAAGATGATAAAGCTCGAGTCCCTATTGGCGTAACTGCGGCAAATAAGCAAAAACCTCTTCTAATGCACATGGAATATAGAATCAAATTGCCTGACCACGATTGGGTAATAGCTGAGCGTCATAAATTCATACCATCTGTTTATGCTGGTATCAGAATCACTTCCAGTATGCTAGGACAACCGCAAGCCGTTGGATATTCTGGATTAACATACATCGCTATTCGGGGTGGAAAGCATAGTTCATCAACTGCTAATACTCATGTTTAAGATTTCGAGACGCTTCTCGAACTTGAAGAGTTTCGACCATTAGCTAAAACTAACCATGGACTAGTAAAACCAGTGGTAATCATGACGGTTGATGGAGGGCCAGATGAAAATCCACGTTATCAAAAAGTCATAGGGTTTGCTATACAACACTTTAAGCGACATGATCTCGATGCATTGTTTTTAGCTACCAATGCTCCTGGAAGAAGTGCGTATAACAGAGTAGAGCGCAGAATGGCTCCTCTTAGTCGGGAACTGGCTGGTTTAATATTGCCTCATGACCATTTTGGGTCTCATTTGGATGAACGTGGCGTTACAATTGATGAACATTTAGAAAGATCTAATTTCGAATTTGCAGAAAATGTATTAGCTGAAGTATGGAAATTGTTGGCTATAATGTTGCTGCAAAATATTTTGGGGCAGGTGAACAAGATCTTCCTGATTTTCCAGATGTTAAATGGTATTCAGAACATGTGCGTGAAAGCCAATACTTGCTTCAAATTGTAAAATGTAGAAATACAGAATGCTCTTGTCCAAGAAGTGGCCTATTCAGATTACTAGACAACAGGTTTCTTCCACCACCTGTAAAAGTAAAAGAAACAGTTGATGACTTGGTTTTGGATAAAGAAAGGCAATTTCTTGATCTTCCAGTCAATTTAGCTCTACGCTTAAGTGCTTTACTCAAAGATTTCCTGCAAATGCCCTACGATTATTTTTGTCCGACGGTAAAATTGAGGCTATCAAGTCGAACATGCAAAACGTGTGGTCTTTATCATGCTTCCGTCAAGCAACTAAATCGTCACATCGAGAAGATTCATAAAAAAGTAAACACGCGCACTGATAGGAAAGTTAGACCTGTAAGAATCGCTGCTCGTCGTGCTAATGAACTAATGTGCATTATTCAAAATTTAGAGCACCATGATGTTGAATGGCTCGATGAGAACGACGTAGACATTCCAAAATCGGATGAAAGTGAGCAGACTCACAACACTGAGCAGCAATCCAAACAATCCAATGTCATCGAAAACTTAGAATCATGGATTCGGGTTTCATGAACTAAAGACTATTAATTTGAATTTAATATGTGTACCAAAAATTTAAAATAAGCTTGTTATGTTCGTAAGATTATAATATTTTTGTCCCTTACTCTATGTTGGATACTGTATCAGTAAAATTTAATCTCTATCCTAAATCTATTTTATTATTTTTAAAATTATAATTATAATATAAAAAATACATTTATAATTGAAAAATGTTTACGTAAGCATGGGGGGAGGGGGTAAGAGCTCTGTTTACTTTTGCTGACAAGGGGGATGGGGGGGGGGGGTAAATAATTGTAATAAATCTGCTTACGTAATATTTGAACGGCCCCAGTGCTAATATTATAGGAATATAGGAAATATTGTTTTATACCTAACAACTTACTTATTTTTTATTCATTGATAGTTATAAATAATATGTATTCGAAATTCGAAGTAATGGTTATGACGTAGCGGTGTTCTTCTAACTGGTTAAGCGGGCCTTACATGCTTCGATTTTTGTGAGATTTGAACTGTACTGTCCATCGATTCAGTCCAAAACTCAACGTGAAGTGCTCGATCTGACTCACACTGGCCTCTTCTCTTTTTTAAAATGTGAAGGTGAAGAGTGAAATGAGCTGATTCAAAACTGTGCATGAAGGGCCCCCATTAATTAATCCATTAATTTTTAAAAACTGTGTTTATTGCTTTTGCTGCTAACTTTTTAGTTCTATTTTAAGTGATCTTTCTACTAAAGGTTTTAACGATTGGAATTGCCTCGCTGAGACTTTAAAACAATATGAAACTTCTAAAAAACATATCCAAAGTGAAAATTCTTGGATTGAATTTAGTCAAAGAATACAGTACTCTAAAACGATTAACAGTCACTCACAAAGACTCATTACCACAGAGATTAATTATTGGTACGAGGTGCTTTCAGAATTATTTCAACAATATAAATGCTTGTCAAAATTGTTTATTCCTCCGAGCCCACATAACATCAATGTTCTATGAGTATACCAAGAACGTTCTGTTTAAGTTCTTTTT